CAAGATACCCAGTCAGTGAGGCCCAAGATGCCCAACTTGAATAAGAAAAGACAGAGAAGAATTTCTCAAAAACACAAAATCTCAGATACACGAAGTACAAAATTAGAGGAAAAACAACTTACTCATAACTGCGGGAGAGAGAATCGGAAGAGCTCGAAGGTTGCAGGAAGAAGCGCTGGCGGAAATTAAGATTTTTGCAGAGAGAACTTTGAGTGCAAAGGAATTTAGGAGAAACGAAGGTGGAAAAAGTCTGAAATTTTGCTAAGTACGGGTTTTATACTTGGGGAAAATTAAAAGGGAAAGAAGGAAGACCGTCGGATTAAAGCTAGATCGTGCGGCGGGGATATTAAAGGGCACGGTACTCCAAGCGGGCGCGTTAGGCGAGGGAGCGTCATCATTAAAGCATCTGACACACACGAAAAGGTGGGACGCGTGGCGAAAAAGTGGGCGCGACAAGAAAGACGTGGGACAAGCAACTTTATTGCTGGAAATTAATGAAGAATTATTCAAAAGAATAGGCGGGAAACCTTTCAACTGGTCGACACCCAATGATGGGCCACCCAGAAGATCGATAAGCATGAACTCACTCTTAGATCGAGTCATTCAGACTCGACCATAGTGGGGGGGGGACTAGATGATATAGGATATTATCTGTACAAAGACGAACCGATTTGGTGAGCCGGTCGAGAAGAGCAGACCGGAAGCAAACCAAGCCGAAAGGCGGGAATCCACGTGATCGAGTAGCCCAAGGCTCGACCACACAAGCGATCGAACAATCCAAGGCTTGACTGCACAGGTGATCGAGCAGCCCGATGCTCGATCAGACTGGTCGAGCTACCCATTAATCGATTAGACGAGTGATCGAACAAGCTGAGTGATCGAGCAAGTTGATCGACATAGACCCAAACGCGTGCATAGCAGACGCGCGTGAGGATCTCTGACTGAGCTTCAGGAGAATATTTACCCCATGTGTCGGGTGGACACGTGTCGACAATGTATTGGGTGATAGCGATAACCACCTCTGACAATGCCTAAATATCCCGCGGCACCTCTGACATGTGCGCGGCGTGTCAGAGTACGGACGGACAGCTTGGGCAGCACACGTATCCTTATTCGGGCAGCTATTAGGGCAGGTATCTCACCCCTATAAAAAGGGGATGAGCCTTTCTTCCTTAACACATTCTATTCATTCTCTAAATTCCAGTATACTCATACACATACTGACTTAAGCATCGGAGGCTCTTCACCGGATCCAACCCCCGGTGTGAGAGTTATTTGCAGGTTCTCGGCGTTCTACCGGCAAGGACAAGAATCGACCTACTCCAAACCGGACCCGGACGCCCACACTTGCATTAAAATATAAACCTTCTAAAAATATACTTATCGATGTAATTGAACTGAGTTGTAAAACGCTTGTTAACTTTTTGTTCTTATTAATTTTATGTGTTAATTTGAGGTGATAAGACAATAATAATTTGTACATTTATCCATGTAGATTAGAAAAAAAAAACTTTATTATTCTAATTCTAAATAACTTTTTTATTTACTATATTAGTTTTTTTAATATAATATATAAGTATCATATTGAACATATAAAACAAGAACTATTTTAATTATATAATATTTAATATGTAAGAAATGTAACTCAATTGGTAAATTAATAGGTAATCTTGAGATAAAATAACGAGTGATTTATGAAAAAAAAAAATTATAGGAACTAAAAGGTTCACGTGTTTAATATATTTTTAATAGAAAAATTGTAAACACAATTACTCAATAAATACTACATAGAAAATAATGTTTGAGAGGACTACAAAAAATTGCTATACTGCAATGAAAAACTCAACGATAAGGTATTCTACTGAAAATTCCCACGAATATATTGCTTTCATTTAAAAATTTCATTGGCTATTCCATTAGTGTTCAAATTAAATTACATGAACTTTAGTGGATTCAAAGATTTCAGTTACATGAATTTCTATTGCAATTTTGTTCGGACCATATTTCAATCGTTGAAAAAATTGTCATTGGTATTATGTAAAAATTCAATAGAAGTTCCATTGGAAAGATAATTGCAGTGATAGATCCAAAATAATTTCATATTGGGAGCATTATTTAGTTAATAGAAAAAAAATATACCATCAAAATAACATGTCATTGCAGTTTATAAATTATACTTTACATAATCTATCACATTTCTCATTTATAATACATTTTAATAAATCTATGCAATCACAATAAGGTAAAATATATTTAAGAAACCAAAAGTCAAGATTTTTCTTAAATCAACATAAGAAAATCGTTATATTTGTTGTATTTTTTGTTGGAATTTTCTCATTTTCTTGTAGTAAAACTAGGACTCCAAATCTATAAAAAAAAAAAAAAAATGCATTATATATAATATTGTGTGCAACTATTATTATGAAAGTTTTTGATACGATAGAAAATATAACACATTCAATGTAATTGACGTTCAATTTATGATAAGAAGTAATTTTTTTCAAAACAAACAAGATACTTTGAAAGATCCTTAATTATTTTATTAGTATTATAATAACTAAATAAGGGGTAAGAATGATGACAAAACTTATATCTCTCATTAAATCCAAAAGTAAAAATGCTGATAAAATTACTTAATGTACAATATCAATTGAAACTGGCTAATGAGAAATATAAAACATACTTGATATACATATATTTTAACTAGAACTTTTAAGTACATAATATATATATATATATATATATTCATATGTATATTTCTTTAAAAGTGGACATGTTAATCTTAAAATTTTTTAGTTAAGATTTTTATTACTTTCTATCATTAAATTTTTTAATTTTAAAATACTTCATATTTTTTATTTGTTACCATTTTATATATAATATATCACATCATTTATTTTCAATGATGTTTGAGTTGACCCATATATTGCAATAACATAAAAATAATATAATTATTTATATTGATATAAAATAATATATATATATATATATATCAGTAATAATTTAAAATAATAAACTGGTGTTAAAGTATATAATGTAATAAATTTTATATTCAAGTTAAATCAATTTTATTAAGTATAAAGTAACATCAGATAAACTTGTGGTATTTTTCATACATAAATTTGAAACAATTCATATTAAAAAAAAAAGTAAAAAAATGGGTGTAAACTTCTAACTGTTCCCACGTTTTGGCCAGAGCGCCCAAATCCGATGTATGTTTGACACGAGTTTGTCGTAATGGTGAAACTATGGCAAATGCACCTTAGGGTACAAACGAAGCGAAGCAACGTAAAGTCATAGATAAAAGAAAAGACTAGGTCAGAGACAAGAAATGAAATAACATTAGCTATGTGGAGTCAATTACTGCTGGAAAATGAACCCTATAGTGGTGGTACCATATATGTATTCAGTGATTATGAAAATGACTTAGTTAATTAATATTTTATCAAACATTGGAAAAAAATCAAAATCTTTTAATCTATTAATTCGTATAAAAAGTATAGCTTTATCAAATATATTACATTACATTTAATCTTATGTGATTATATTAATTGTAGCCTAATAAATAAGATAATTTGATAACATTATTATATAAAACACATACGAAAAATACTGTAATACGTATAAATGTGCTTTAGTTACTTAGCAAATAAAATATTATTTGTCTATAGAATAAGAAACAAATAATATAATAGTAATGCAATGAGAAAAAGAAAACGTGCTTATTTTCTTAGAAAATTATGAATACCAATATTTACAAACAAAAAGTCTTTTAAAATTACTACTTTTTTGTTGCTAGCGTTTAAATATATGGACTCTGTAAGAAATTGGTTCTTATAAATAATGATCATATATTATTTATTTTCAATTTTAAATAATTAAAAAATCCAAAAATTTGTATACATGATGTATATTTTAATCATGACTCCATAATAATAAACTTTACAGATGACTAAAAGTATCGTTCTATAATGGATCTTCTGCTGTCAAATATTTTAACAAATGATATGCTTCTCAATATTTTCTCATTGTTTTGTTTGTTTTGTTTTATCATTACAAAAAATAGATTATATTGTTCGTCTATATACTAAATAAATAACACTGAAAATGAAATGTATGAGTATCATAACAGTTTTGAATGTTAGAATGAAGTTGTCATTTCTTATAGAAATATTTATAATCTCATTGGTGTATTGCGCTTGAACATATGTGCAATTACTTTAGAGGTATTTTCAGGTAATGTCTGGTGATTTCAAAAAATAATTTAGCACCTCAGGAGAAGTACATGTAACCCAGATTTTGGAAAGTCAACTTTTATTTGGAGATAAAATTCATTCCCACCTCGTGGGGCGATGCATCAATAGGGTAGACACCAATATATTTAGAGACAGAGGAATGTGTAATTAATTAAGAGAAATTAGTAATTTATACATTGATTAAAATTATCAGCAATTTTAGTGACACCGTTAGTTATTTCATAGAGATATTTATCATTTGTTAATAGAAGTACCTTGTTATAAAGATCATGCGATCATAAAATTTGACTATATGTTGGGTCAGAATGTTTCTTAAGTGTTTGAATAAAATTGCCGTTTTGCCAAATTAATTAAGAGAAATTTGCAATATTATTGATGTATTGGACTCCAACGACTATGAATGTTCTTATGAGAACGTCAAAACCAAAATGAAAGAAAATCTTTGTGTTTTTTTATTAGGAATTTGTTTTTTATATATATTTTTGTTGGGGGTTGTAAAACGTTATTTCACTCCTTTTTATATGAGGACATCATTACGTTAATTCTAAATAAAAAAAAAATCACATATGAGTTCATTTTTTCTATATTTTATTTCATTTTTGCAATGATATGTTTAATAAATTAATTAATTTATTTTACAAACTTACTCCGCGAATATCATTCGACACCACGTGCATCGCACGTGCACTTTACTAGTAATAATAAAATAGAAAAAGAAAGCGAAAGGGTAAAGCTTCACGAAAAATGGCCACAACAACATTAGGAGGAACATCTTATTTACCTAATCTCAAAGCTGTAACCAACCCTCCCTTTCGTGTCTCCTCCACCAGTCAATTGGTCGTCAGCTGCCGCCGCCGCTCGTTAAACTCTATTACGACAATAAAAATGGCATCCACGGAAACAGAGCGTTTAGGGATTAAGATCGTCAAAAACCCACCCGAATCTAAACTCTCCGACCTCGGTGTTCGCTCTTGGCCCAAGTAATTAGTTTCGTTTTTCACTTCACGCAGCTTTGATGGATGTACTCTACTTCATTACCAATGTTATTACTTAATAGATTGCTACATGATCTTTTATTTTCATTTTTTCACTGAGTTCCAAAATTTAGGAACCTGATGAATTATTATGTACTATTATGCAAATGCTAGAATGGGAAAATTAGAAATAGAAACTGATGAGTGAATTGTGATTTGCTGATGCTTGCAGCCGTTATCGACATCATTTATTTACCTCCCCTTCATTCAAACCACCGGATATTGAACGGCCTGTTCCATTCCGTGCCTTGGTCTTGAGTTAGACAATTTCCTTCTTTATTATTAACCCAAATTATGGAGAGTTAGATAAATCATACTAGAAACACTATTAATGAATGTTATACTTCTCCCTCCATCTCAAATTATATGTATTTTGGGCTTATTTTCATTTCCCAAATTATATGGTTCTTAGAACAAGGAAAATTTAAATGAGTCCATACTCTATGCAACTTTTCAACTTCTCAATTTATCAAGATCATTTCAAAAGGAAGTATTCGTGTTGTATCTAATAATAACTAGGAAAAAGAAAAAAAGATCATTTTTTTACTAGTTTGTCTTAATTTTTGTATCAAAACCTAAAAGAAAAAAAAAAAAAAAAAACATATAATTTAAGATGGAGGGAGTAGAAGAGAGGCCGGAACAGCATGATGATTGGAATGACTTTTCTTTGGCAGGTCAATTTTTGAGTTATCTTTTTGTGAAAATCACATTTATCTCTTCTTATTTCATAAGGTTATGTATTTTATCTTTTAATTTGTAAAGCATCTGCATATTAATTGTTGCTCTCCTATTAAGGGTTTCAGCTTTCACTTGCACGAGTAACTTAGTAATTAAGTTAAGCAAACATACAAGCATTAAGTCAATCATCTCCCATCTTGGTTAAGCTTTACACATATACACAACTTTGGTAATCATGATTGCAGAGCGCTCTCTACATCAACGGTATAAACCACTAAAGTATCTAGCAACCATCAACCAAAATCCGTTGCTTGTATGAACATCAATAATGTAGCTATCAAGACAAGAGTGTAGTGGTATTATGGTAGAGGCGGCAGCCAATAGGCTTCCTGATGTCAAATGTTTTAATTAACTTTTTTGATTAATTTTTTAAAACAGGTGGGGATGCCCTCCGAGCAAATTTCCGTGGACTTACAGTTCGAAAGAGACATGCTACATATTGGAGGGGAAGGTGAAGGTGTATCCTGATGGATCTGCTGAAGATGAAGCAGTTGAGATTGGTGCCGGTGACTTGGTCGTCTTCCCCAAGGGGATGACCTGCACTTGGGACGTCTCCCAAGCTGTTGATAAGCATTACAAATTTGATTGAATACTCTGCAAAAACATATATTATTATTCCTTGTTGCTGTTGCTGCCTGTATTAGTATCACTGTAACATTCCATATTCCAGTTACCTGTAGTATGTTATCTTGTATTTCAACTATCAGCTCATTGTCTTTTCCTTGAAAGTTATGTTATATAGTTGGCCAAGATGAATATATCATACTGACTTTTTTTATTTATTTCTCTAGCTCGTGACATTTTACTCACGATGCTAGTCAAGATTTGATCGTGCAGAACAACATTGGATATATAAACACTGCATATATATTTCCATGCAAGAAAATATACTCAAGGTAATGATTACAATTGTACCTTGTGAATATATTGTTCATAGGATGTCAGTAACCTGGAAATCGTCTCACAGAAGATGCATAAAGGTTGCTCAAGTTAAAAACTTAAAAATATTGCCTATCTTCCACTGTGCATTATAATATAGGCTCATTAGTGCAAATCATGAATCACCACACTTGTCGAACTAAATTGTTGTGCATTCATGTTTATGCTTGGGGATTCTGTAATGAGAGAGAGAGAGAGAGAGAGAGAGAGAGAGAACATGGTTTTTCCAGCAAAAAATACACAAGTTACATTTTAACATTTATTAGTGTACAATTATAATGGATGGGAACATCTTCTAGCCGTTAAATACTATACTTTCAAAACTAAATACTATATTCATTCTCTCTCTGTATTGTTGAGAGAATGAATGAAATATTAGAGTACAACTGTGAAAGCTTGAAATTCCTCTTTACAAGGTAAAGTAAGATACTGAAGACATGATAAAAGCTACATGCTCATTGCTCTTGACGAGTCGTCCATTTCCCCTTCCTGCAGCTCTGCTGCAACTGCACCTTGTCCTTGCTGTGTAACAACTGCAGTGTTAGCATAGAAGCTAATTGAAACCATAATGTATTTCGACAACCTATATATGTACATATTATTTATTTATACCACCTGATCCTTGAAGTTGGCTTCTGCAAGGTATCTCTCGAGAGAAGCATCCCCACGTAGTATCTTACCACCACATCCACAGACCTCTACACTACCTACTGACTCTTCATCTACAACCACTGCATCAACTCTATCTTTCCCCATCTTTGCATCTGGAACCTAAACAAGACAAAAACCACTGTTTAATTTCATATAAAATTTTGAGGCACCAAAACAGGGTATGATGACAAATGTATTGGAGGTTCCAAGTTTACCTCATACATAGCATTTGTAAGGAGGCTTTCAAGTATGGCTCTTAGCCCCCTTGCACCAGTGTTCTTGGTCATTGCTTTGTTGGAAATCATCCGTAGAGCCTTCTCAGTAAAATGCAACTTCACCTACAATTCATGTATATACCATTACAAGTTGATTGGATAATTGTCAACAACTCTCAACAACCAAGGACAACGAGTTGCAGTTGCATGACCGAAATAAAATGCCTTACGTTATTCATCTTAAATAACTTCTTGAACTGCTTCACAAGTGCGTTTTTTGGTTCTGTCAAGACCTATGAACAATACGGGCATAAACAAATATAATCATATCAAATACATGCACCCCCACCCCCACAACTTCTCCACCAAAAGAAAAATGAAAAATTAACATATGCATACGTGTATGTCTATTTGTGTGTGTGTGCGCGCCCACGTGTATCCATGCTAGCATTTTCCAAACTTGAAAATAGAAGAGAAATCATGCACAGGTTAAAAAGCGCGTCCATGTGAATTATGTCCCTTCTGAAGTATTCTCCTAAATATGCATGACTTTCCATTGACTAATTGAAGAATGCACGACACCAGAGATAGCCTAGGAATAACATGGAAGAGATACATAAGATACAACAACTACTAACACAGATATCACATTACCTGAACAAGTTGGTCTTCCGTGAGGGCTGACAAACTAAACAAAATTGGGAAACGCCCAATAAATTCCGGTATGAGGCCATAAGCTATCAGATCACTACTTTCAACCTGAAAAGTTTTACCTTTACAAACTTGAAATACAACTTGGAGCCCGAATAATGTTTCGCTACTTCAGGCAAGCCAATAATATATCTTAAATATCTATGCTCTTCATTCTTACAGATTCGAGAAGGGATGATGTGATAGCAGCATCAGTAACTCCACCTGATCTCATGTTAGCACGTATTGGAGCTCCAAACCCAATTGACGAATCCTGCCGTCTGGAAAGAATAAAATAGTCTGCTATTAATATCTCCAAAGTTTCACAAAGTACTGTTAGATGAGGGGGATGTATCATAAACGATAAATCACCTTTCGGAAATAGTTTTCTCTAAATCGACAAATGCTCCTCCACAAATGAAAAGGATATTTTTGGTATCTATCTGAAGCAAAAATAGAATACAACTGGTCATACTTACAATAAAAAAAAAAAAAAAAAAAAAAAAAAAAAAAAGCAACTGGTGAAGTTTTGAAGGAACATCAAATTAAACCATAAGCCACAAAGGTAAGCAGAAAAGGCAATTTATAAGTTTATTATATCATTAGGAGCAAAATAGTGTCAAATAGATGAAATGTGCAAGAAAAAGACAGAACACTAATTGTGTTCATTTTACCCACAATGTTCAATAGATTAGGAGAGAACCAAAAATACAGGTGGAGCATCAAAACAGATATAAGATCGAGATAAAGACTCTACCTATCCTGAGTATATATGAGCATTGGAGTAAGAAACATGGTTCATAATAATAAAAATCTAACCACATTGCACATAGCACAATCAACTTGACCCAGTGAGAGTCTGATACTAATACTACACACAATATGTTGAAGAATAGTATGTCAAACAAACCCAGCTGTTAAAAAGAGAGGTAATATATTATTTCATTGATTTTAACTTTCTTTTTATTAAATTTATTTTTTCCTGATTAATTCTTCAACATGAGATTCACAATTTGAAAATGGAAGATTCAGGACGAGCATTGATAAGAATGAGCAAAAACAAACTAGGATCACTGTACCTGAATACTATCGCCCCGAGGGTGCTTCCTAGCCCCCTTTTCGGGAACATTTACTATCTGGCATAAAAATATTTAAATAAACAAATAAATAAAGGAACGAGAGAAATACTAGTTTTTTACTCAAGTATCTATGGGTCCAGGGGTGGATCTAGAGACTTCTAAATCGAGGGAAGGGATGGAAATAGAAAATCTCTCTAAAAACAAGTTCATAGATAATAATTTGTTCTTCAGCATTTTCTTAACTTGTGTGCAACAAAACTGCAAACGAAAAAATAGAATTCTTTTAATCTATATGTATAGTATTTACTAAGCCTCATTCCATATAGAGAACTGGAGAATCTGCAAGAAAACCATCTCCCATTTTATTACGAAATGTTGTCTTCTCATTCAGTTGGACCTTCACTTAGATGTGCCCAAGCCTCGTGCACCTTGAAGCACTTGTGTTTTTAAGAGAGAGATGGTACTGGGAGACAGAAAGCATTGTTTCATCCCAAACCCTAAACAGCGGGGTGCACCCACCCTTAACTGCGCCCTTGACACCATGTCCAGACTAAAATTCCTCAATAGAAAATTATTAATTTCATGTCTTTGAACAGCTCCCAGTTGAGAAACACGTTTAGTTGAAGGCGTAATATTAATTTTAAAATATCAGTTAAAACAAAAAAAAAAAAATAAAAAAAAAATCCAGATAAATGGATCACCTAGCCATTTGAGCAGCCTAGTCGATAACCATATTCGATATTTGTGGTGTGGAGAGTTGCATTGCTTAAGGGAATACACACACACACATGGAGAGAGGGATTGAGAGAGTAAGAGAGAGAGACTGCTGATGTGATATATATAATTAAAAAAGAAACTGATATCAGTATGTATTAGGGTAACTCACAGTCCCTTCAAGCATTTTGAGCAATGCCTGCTGAACACCCTCACCAGAAACATCTCTGCTGATATTTAAGCTCTCAGCCTTTAACACCACAAAAAAGGAGTTTTTATAAGACGATGACCATTCTATAAGACAGAAGCTAAAGAAATCATCATAGGGAATATGAGAACCTTCTTAGTTATCTTATCAACTTCATCTATGTACACCATCCCTTGTTGTGCTGCTTGCACGTTAAACTCAGCGACCTTGAAGCATATTTGCAAATGAAAAGTAATGCATATGAAAATGTAAAACACAGAACGCTGTTTTTCCTCTGAATGCTGGATGTGTCCCTAGGGGCGTGTTATTAACATCAATAAGAGCAATTCTAAATTCCAAACAGGCAAGATAAGCAAGTTGAGGCCGCATACTTGGTTAGGATTGCACCTTCCATACTATATGTCAGCAGACCTACTGTGTGAGATTGATGTATGGTTGGAGAGGAATCAAAAGTGGATACTGATTTTTCACAACATAAATCAACGAGTTCCATGTTCTTCCAGAGAGGAATAGAAAGCGGATACATATTTTTATTCATCATAAACATTTACTAAAACTGAACAATTTCTTTAACACTGTGTAGCAGGGAAGAGGAGGTCAAGTTTGTAACTCTTATGAATACTACAGAACAAAGAGCAGGATTAATTGTCTTCAAAGATCTACTTTGACGGCACACAGGTCTCACTTGTTAAATGTTAACAAGCACCAGGATTACAACATCTTGATATGATGCAGACCAAGCATTTAAAGGAATAAAGATTAGCATACAGTGAGTAATTTGTACAATATTGATTCAACATCTTCGCCAACATAACCAGCCTGCAAAATAAATCGATAAATAAATAAATAAATAAATATGCATACAAAAACAGAAAAATGAAATAACTATTTGTTCGCAAAGACCAAATCACATAGAATCTCAGTATTGTCCAATAAATCAGTGTTGAAACAGTAGTGGAAACAGAAAACCAACTTAAAAATGCATAATTAACAAAACCTGCGTCAAAGTTGTTGCATCTGCAATGACGAAAGGCACATTGACAAATCGAGCAAGTGTTTTTGCAAGCAGCGTTTTCCCTATTTATCAAAGAAATGAACAAACAAAGTGAATTACTAAGGATGGTGATGGAGGCACAGACACTGATAACATCTATGTGTAGAACCAAGAACAGCTGAACTGCTAAACCATACCTGAGCCAGTTGGCCCCATTAAAAGCACATTGCTCTTCTCCAAGTCTACATTATCATCATCATCATCATCTAATCTGGATGATTCAGATTCCGACCTAATATTAGGATCCAAACAGAAACTAAACGAAAAGAAATCAAAAACCACTGATATAATACGGAAATGCAATGCAAAATCTCACAACTAGGGTGTGAATCAGATTTTTTAAGATCCTTTTACCAATTTGGATTAAATAGGTATGGACATGACACCCTAAGTGTTCCTGTTACCCCTCAAATCACTCAATGTGTCAAATTACAACACCAAAAGGTCCGATACAACTTATCATCCAGCTACTCCCAAAGAAGTAACACTTGTCTCAACGCATCATAACTTTTATCTGATTTGTCACACAGGACAAAACTCTTGCAGATGTACAGAACATAGAGAAGAATGAGAAAAAATATAGAAATTTGTCAGATGTTTGGCAGTTAACTAATACTATCAGCTCAGAAGTTGACGCAGAGCAAGATCATCACGAAATATGTACCAGATAGTAAGTTTCTGAGAAAATTTTCAACCAGAATTAGGAAAAAAGGTTAAGATATAGACTCAAGGAACATAACCACCATATACAGAACTCATAATCTCCTTATGGATTACGATTTAAAATAATAACCAGTTGGAAATCATATGGGAAAATGAGGGACAGGCAGTTATAATTTGAATGATCCAGAATCTTGTCTGGCAAGTTGTTACTTTCTCCTTCAGAGAAGCTTTAAATTTATCATTACAGAAGCATCTTTGAGCATTGCAGATTCATGGAAACACAATGGTGCAAGTGAAGCCTTCGATATGTTGGCGAGCTAGTGATACTAGATCTCCCATGCCATAATTCCCATTTCATTGATTCACTAGGAACAATCGACCCTAAATCCTTTTGTTGTTTGCGCAAATAGGATTATCTTTTTCTCGGGACCTTTAACTCTTTTTTTCCTCATGTGGGAGTTACAATTAATTCCCGTTTATCTACTTGTATCCATGTGGGGAGGAAAAAAAAGGTCTGTACTCAACTACAAAATTTCTTTAAAAAGAATTAACGTCCATTTTAGTGAAAAAGAAGAAATTACACTAAGCCACTAACCCCTTGTCTAAATTGGCATGGTATATCCTTTTGTAGTGGTTGTACACAGCCACTGAAAGCACCTGGACATCAACAGCAAACAGTATATGAGATCACGCTGATCCAAAGGTAGACGAGTGTGTATTTATTGAGTATATGCATTAATAAGGATGCCCAACAGAAAGACATTCACTCTATGCAAGGAACACAAGATCGTGGAAACAAGAAAATATCAAAAGTATGTATGCACAACGAGCTGCAAATGAATGACAAACAAGTTAAAAAATTCTGACAACCAGTTTAGAAGGGTTCCTTAGGACAAGTTAAAAAAAATGGCATTGAGAAATATAGAAAACTAGTGTAGGAATTAAGATTCTCATTCCAAATTCAAGGCAATTTCAAAGTTTCATGATAAAAGGTGGGAAAAGAGAAAAAAATGGGACCTTTTTTGCACGTTCCTGGCCAATAACAAATTTGTCTAGTCCATTACATATCTCCTTTGGTGTGGGCAAATTCTTACCAAGATTAGACCCACCCCAGGTGCTCTTCTCTGCACCATTATTAGCACCACCACCACCACGCTTGCCATTTGGTGATGCTCGAACAACATCAACACCGGGAGCAAAAGGTGGACCAGGTGGAGTATGCACAGCAATCCCATTATCTGATGAGGGTGGGATCGGCGGCGGAGGCAAGTTCTCACTACCGTATGATCTCAAGGTCTCCCAGAAGGATGGACGGAGCCTCTTTCCGTAGTTCTCTCGAGGATCAACAGTTAAATCTGAATTAGAATTCTTGCTTTTCACTCGGCCAATCTCAACAAAACTCCCCTGGAGAGGAGACATCTTGAACGGCCTGAAGTAATAAGCTGTCTTACAATTGGGGCAAAGATTAACAGCCTGGTAAGCGCTGTTGCCCACATCCTTATCATTGGTATTTTTGTTGGTGGAGGAGGAGTTGTTCTTCTTACTATGGCTGATACTATCATTTGTGGTATCAGTATTGGGAAGAGGATTATCAGCAGCATGGGCGGGAGGAATAAGGTGGTGCGAGCGGTTGGTGAAAAGGAGATCCATTTGCTTAGAGCAGCGAGGGCAATTAGCCTCCGCTCTAATTCTCCGAGCAGTGTGCTGGTCGCCGGCACCGGCGCCGCTGTCCCACTTGTATCTCTCCTGTTGCACTCCAATCCCAATCGGCCGTTGCTGCCTCACATAAAGGCTGCAGCAATTCACCACTAAACTTCGCTTTGGCACCTCGAAATGGGAATAGGAACGGGAATTGTTCCACATCCGCCACCAACCTTCATTACCTTTCTTCGACGCCATATCTTTTAATTTTCTCCATCTCCAAACTCCCGACATCTTCTTTCTCTTCCTGTACTCACTGTCTGTTTTGTTTAGATGGTGAGTGGAGAAAATTTGCGATGAGTCTTGCAACAAGTTAACATGTGCCTAATTTAATCTAATCTAATCTAATCCAATCTGACATTTATATATATATATATGGGAAGAAAAAAAGGGAAGAGAGAGGGCGAAAGAGCGACTATTGAGGAGGGAGAGAGGGAGGGACGCAGAGGAAGGCAACAAATACCCAACCCCACACCCGAATAAGAATGTGCAGACAAGAGCATTCTTCGGAGAACTAAAATCCCAGATTAGAGCGTTTCGTTTCGGGGAATCGCTATTTATCGCCCATTTTACTAATCGTCCCCAATTGCGTTTTTGCCCTTCACACTATTTCTCTCTACTCTTTCCATCTTGACTTTTCACGACTCTTTTGACCGTTAAAAAATATCGAAAAATATTCAAAAAAAATACCATAATATCGGCAAGACATTGAAGATTGACTATGTATTTTTTTTATATTTTATTACTTTGTAAATATTTTTTTTTTTTTTTTTGCGCGTCCGGACGGAATTTCCGGGAGCACCATGGGGCGTCCGGACGGACGGACCGGACGCACCATGGGGTGTCCGGCCGGACACACAATATGGCGACCGGACGATCCGGCCGGACACCCCATGGTGCGTCTGGTCCGTCCGTCCGGACACCTCATGGTGCGTCCGGTCCGTCGTCCGGACGCCTCATGGTGTGTCCGGAAATTCCGTCCGGATGCGCAAAAAAAATAAAAAAAATAAAAAATTATTTACAAAGTAAAAAAATATAAAAAATACATAGTCAATTTTCAATATCTTGCCGATGTCATGGTATTTTTTTTAGATTTTTTCGAAATTTTTTTTACGGTCAAAAGAGCCGTGAAAAGTCGAGAGGAAAAGAGTAGAGAGATAAAATAGAGAGATAGTATGAAGAGCAAAAACGTAATTGAGAGGCGATGATTAATAAAAAGGAACGGTAAATAATAATACCCGGAAAATGAGACTCATGGAAACTGTGCACTTCTCTAATATTGGAACATTAGCTCAAATCATTTCATACCGTGACCATCATCCTATTATAGGTTACCCAATATCTAGCATAACTATCCATATCTTTAACAAAAAGAAATTTCCTCAAATATACAAACTTTATATACATTAACATACCACCATATTTGTGCATATTAACGAGTTTTTGAATCTCAAGAACAAAACGTTAAAAAAAAATATAAATAAAGTAATGATAAAATGTTATATTTTGGTTAAAATAAAAAGAGTGTAAGATAACTTATATGTTACATGCATGAGTTTAATTGAATTACACAATGCATGAATGTAAAGTAAGTTTCAAGACAATGCATGTAGGATAAGATTTAAGATAATGGATGTGGATAAGTTTCACTTCACAAACTTGAAACTTGTGGTTTAATTAATCTTGAATTAACTAAACAAGTTGCAACTTAATGAGATTAATGTATCTCATTAAACAAAATGAGTTGTAAAAATAAATTCTTACATTTTGTAACCAAGGCAATGAGTTATATATATACTTCTCTTCTTTTGTGAAATCTTACGAAGTAAAGTAGAAGGCTTGATAAATCCCAAAACTCCTTTCTATTTTGTTGTTCCCTAAAGATTTCCAAGAGAGTTAGAAAAAAGAATTTTTAGACAAAGTTCCAAAGAACTTGTTTAAGCCTTGTGTTATGTATTATTTTGTGTTCTTGAGAGAAATATTAAATAATAAAATTTGAGTGTCTCTTTCTCCATTGTTATCTATTATTTCCAACAATCAAAAACTCTATTTGCATGGAGACGGAGACGATCAAAATCATGAACCAAGACTTGGTGAAGTTGGATAGGTTTGATGGCTCGAATTTCACAAGGTGGCAAGACAAGGTGAAATTTCTTATCACGACCCTCAAGATATTTTATATTCTTGATCCTACCTTGACTCCTCTACAAAAGCCAAATGATAATGATACTCTCGAAACTGTGGCCGCATGGAAGAAAAGAGAGGAAGACGAGTCAATATGTCGGGGTCATATTTTAAATGTCTTATATGATAGGCTATATGATCTCTACAAAAATAATTCGGCTAGAGAAATTTTGGAGGCTTTAGAAAATTAATATAAAACCAAAGAAAAAGGTACTAAAAAATTCCTATCTCCAAATATTTTGATTTCAAATTTTTTGATGAAAAGCCATTATTGCCTCAAATTCATGAGTTGCAAATACTTGTGAATAAATTGAGAGTTTTAAAAATTGAACACCAGAGGCTTTTTCAAGTTGGGCCATTGTGGCTAAACTTCCTTCAAGTTGGAAGAGGTATTGAAAAAAGGATTCTCCACAATAAAGAAGATTACTCCTTGGAGGAGTTTAAAAAACATCTTCGCTTTAAAGAAGAATCGAAACTAAAAGATAAAATGGTTGATGAGTCCAATGGTGGGACTAGCAAAGCAAATATGGTTTCAAAACCAAAACACTTTGCTGATAAAAATAAAAATAAAAAAATCAATAATTCTTTTGGTCCAAAGAAAACACCTGACAAGTTCAAGGGCAAGAAAGACTCTTGTTTTATATGTGGGAAACATGAACATTTTGCAAGAGATTGCAGGGACCGAAAGGGGGCTGAAGTGAATGCAATTGATGATGAGATCGTTGTAACTTTAAGCCATGTATGTGCTGTCCATGGGAAGGTTCAAGGATGGTGCTATGACACCGGTGCCACCGTTCATGTTACCTATGACAAATCTCTTTTCAAAACCTTTGAAGATGCAAAGGGAGATCAAGAGATTCAAATGGGGAATGAAAGAAAATCCAAGGTGCTGGCAAAGGCACAATTGAGATTGTATTCAGTTCGGGGGAAAATATTACACTTATTAATGTTTTGTATGTTCCCGATATGAATAGAAATCTTGTCAGTGGTGGTTTACTCAGCAAATTGGGTATAAAAGCTGTGTTTGAATCCGATAAGCTAATATTAACAAAATTGGAAAATTTTGTTGGAAAAGGTTATTCTACTGATGGAATGATTAAGCTTTGTATTCAAAATAATTTGAATAAAGAGGCATCTACTTCTGTTTATGTGTGTGACTCAAATTCTTTGTCATTTTGGCATAATAGACTTGCACATGTTGGTTTAAGCACTATTAAAAGAATTGTCAAAAGTGGTTTAATTAATTGTGATATAAATGAATTTAAAAAATGTGAAATATGTGTTGAATCTAAAATGATCAAAAAACCTTTTCAAAGTGTGGAAAGATCATCGAATTTGCTTGATTTAATACATAGTGATCTTTGTGAACTTAACGGTGTAAAAACTAGAGGCGGGAATAGGTATTTTGTTACTTTCATTGATGATTGTTCAAGATTTACCTATGTGTTTTTATTGAAAAAACAAACGTGAAACTTTTAATGCGTTTAAAGTTTACAAAGTCGAAGTTGAAAATCAACATTGGTAAAAAGATTAAAATTTTGAGAAGTGATAGAGGTGGTGAATATTTCTCAAATGAATTTAATTTATTTTGTGAAGAAAATGACATTATTCATGAATGCACAACACCATACACACCACAACATAATGGTGTAGCAGAGAGAAAGAATTGAACATTTTTAGAAATGGTGAATGCTATGTTATTGCATGCTAAATTGAATTTTGAGTTGTGGGGTGAAGTCTTATTGACTGCGTGTCATATTTTGAACCGAATCCATATGAAGAAAATTGAAAAATCTCTATATGAGTTATGGAAAGGAAGAAAACCTAATATAAGATACTTCAAAGTGTGGGGGTGTCTTGCATATTGCAAGAAAACGGACCTAAACAAAAGAAAATTGGGTTCGAGAGCCATAAAGTGTGCATTTGTTGGTTATGCCACAAATAGCAAAGCTTATAGGCTATTAGATTTGGAATCTAATGTGAGAATTGAATCAAAAGATGTAGAATTCTTTGAGAATTTATTGAGTCGTTCTCAAGAATCTACTAATCTTGAAGAGTTTCAAGAGAATGGACCAACGACGGTTGTTGAGAACCCTTTGGTGTCAGTGAGAAAAAGTCAAAGACAAAGAAAATTGGGATCAGATGAGATTGATTCTCAAAGAATTTTCTTTTATTTAGTAGAGAGAAATAGAGAAAATATTATTAGGAAAATTCCTATAATACTTCACGTGGAGGATGATCCCAAAACATACAAAGAAGCCACTGTTTCGAGAGATGTCGCGTTTTGGAAAGAGGCAATCATTGATGAAATGGATTCTATTGTATCTAATCGAACATGGGAATTGGTAGATCTTCTAGCAGGATCTAAACCAATTGGTTGCAAGTGGGTGTTCCGTAAGAAATACAATGCCGATGGGAGTATTCAAACCTTTAAAGCTAGATTAGTAGCTAAAGGATTTAAACAAAAAGAAGGTATTGATTATTTCGATACATATGCTCCAGTGGCAAGAACAACTTCGATTAGGATATTGTTTGCTTTGGCATTAATTCATAATCTATTTGTTCATCAGATGGATGTCAAAACGACATTCTTGAATGGAGATCTCAATGAGGAGGTCTATATGGAACAACTAGAAGGTTTTGTTCTACTGGGAAATAAACATAAAGTGTGTAGGCTTGTTAAATCATTATATGGTTTAAAGCAAGCTCTTAAACAATGACATGAAAATTTTGACTCGGCCTAGCCGGGCGAAATAGTGACGTCGGCCTAGACGGGCGAAATAGTAACATCAGCCTGGCCGGTCGAAATATTGACTCGGTCTGGCCAGGCGAAATAGTGAGGTTGGTCTAGTCGGGCGAAATAGTGGCGTCGGCTTGGACGTGGCTCAACGGTGGTAGAAATAGTGACGTCGGCCTGGCCAGGCGAAATAGCGAGGTCGGCCTGGTCGGGTGAAATAGTAACGTCGGCCTGGCCGGGCGAAATAGTGACGTCAGCCTAACCGGGCGAAATAGTG